TGATGAGCTTTTGCAGCATCGTCATATCGTACCGCGCACTATATTTAGAGGTCAGTACCGTGTTAGGTATAGTCGAGGGATATATTAGGTCATATATGCGGACTATTGTTATCCCCACAGAAGGAAAATCCTCCGCTGTGTGTGAAAGAACAATTACATAAATGGCCGCAGATTTCAATATGCTATTCATGGTCAAATCAACTTGTTCTGGAATGGCGTTTAAAAATTCATCACACTTACTGATTGTACTATCAGCACTGATAGTACAATCACTGATAAATTCAATACTCTAAGCCATTTCATATAAAAGCGATGGAACAGGAGTTGTTAGAGTGCAATATAGTAGGCTTTAATTTAAGTGCAAATGTATGTATTTTTTCTAACCCCACCTTTGGTTTTATACCTACGGTGTTTATGCTAGTGTTCAGCCACTTGGGTTGGCCTGGATATAATCTCATATGGTCATTATGAGAAATCTTCTGCAAAACACTTTAATACTTCGATGCTATTCTATTTCGACTTCTCTGCAACTAAATGTCACGCTGATCACATGATACCTTTCCGCATAGGTTGTGAGTCTTGTGACTCAAATATAACAGCAGCTATTTTTTTAAATGTTGCGGTTGGCAGATTTAATCCACTCTCGGGAGTTAAATGAGAAACTTAATCTACTCTCGTGAGTCGGTTAGGTAGTAACTCAACTCCGGGAGTAATTTATATAACTTGATCAGCTCTCGGGAGTGAGCTAACTCTAATGACTTCTATGAATCAAAGAGAGTCTCTTGCTGTATCACTCCCCCTCAACTCTACAGTCAAGGGCTGAAGTCTGAAAGCTGAAAAGTGACGACTGAAGACTGATGAAGGCTGAAGGCTAAAGTCCTGGACTGTGAAATTGTTGATTCTGTATATAGATTGGGCCATAAGCATTGAACCGATAAAACTTTGTCAAGAAAACGTTGACGTGTTGGATCTGTTGAGTATTGACTGGGTAAAAATTTACCGAGAAGGTTGACTGCGATCCTCTGTACAGTGGCTGGCATCACGACGGGCGTGGATAATCTTCTGTACGGGGATAGGCATCTCAATTTCGCAGGTAAAAATCACTCATGATATTTCCTTGAAAAATATGTTTCGCTTTCTGAAACAGTGTGGACTGTGGCTTGGATAATGGGGGACAGCTCCCTTCTGCGTTGTGGCATATTGGTTTGACTTTGGGATCTGACCCGAGAGGCTGAGATTCAGAGACTGAGAGGCTTGAGACTTTCGCTTGGGTCTTGGAATGCTTAGTATGGTTGCTTTTAAAATCGACCTACGAAATTCGTGTACATAGTGATAAATTCTACCAATTGGAGACATAAATTCAGGCTGCAGTGGTACAAAAAAAAATTGTTTACGTTTAGTACTCACAAATACCTAGTGGGGCGTCGGGTGGTAGTGTGAGATTGTGGGACCTGTGGGACCTGTGGGCTGTAAAATTTACATTTTTTATATATACTGCTAGTGAATTCCTATACAAATTTTCACAGGTATGCAACTTATACGATATCACGCATCGAAGTTAAAAAGGACCAGTAAGTTACTAATATTTTGTGTATCGATGAATATACATTTTCTGCGGAATACAACTTAAACTTCAGAGTAATTTTGTCATAGAACACATTAGGGATAAATATTATTGCACACAAGTATATACTTGCGTGCCTATCGATAGGAACAAGTATATGACCAAATATATAGTTATATATTGTTTGTACATCATTTTATAATTTCATTTTCACATATAATACAAACAGTTTGTACGCACTTCTTTCACAAGGCACGATATATCTGTATAGTTTGCAGTCAGATAGAAGCACAAAGCATTTGACACCTGCTTACCTCAAAATACTTGCCTTTATTATGAATCGAACTAAGTTGAGACTGTTATCCGAGTCAATATTCGGTCGCCTATATCGGTGAACTTTTCTCTCGGCTGAGAGGCTTCGTGAAGAAATCGCTGAGTAGCTGTTCTGATGGTATGTATTTTAGCTTGATGATGTTGTCCGATGTGAGTTCTCTGATGTGCTGATATCGTAGGTCGACATATGTAGTACGGTGGGATTTCGTGATACCATTCCATTAGTATTGCTGCCTTGTTGTCCTGTTCTATGGTGGTGGATTCTTCAAGCGGAATGTCGAATTCCGTGAAGAGATTTTTTAGCCCAAACTGTGTCTTTGGCTGTATCAGACTGTGCGACGTATTCTGCCTCTGCTGTAGACGTTGTTACTAGCCGTTGCAAATTTGTCCCCCACATGAACGGTACACCTGCTATATTACCTACTCGCCGGGTGGTGGATCGTCTTGTTGTGTTATTGCCAGTGAATCTAATATCTGCACTCAGATAGGGAATACATGGTTCTTTGTTCGTATATTCGAGACCGAAGTTGAGTGCCAGCGAGATACTTCATACAGCGCTTGGCTCCTCTGAAGTGGTGGTACTGTGTTGCTAATAGATAGCGACTTAGGATCGAAACAGCAAGGCATATATATTCTCGTGTTTGATCTATAAGGTATCGTAGCTGACCCATTAGCTGGTTGTATTGTGTGATTGTTGGGACGTCTGAACTAGCCACTTTTTCTGGGAGATGCGTGTTTGTCTGTTACTTCATAGTCCGACTCATATTGTCGTCGATGAAGACGTACTCTTCCAGGATGTATTTCCACTTCGCATTTGAGAAATTACGATGTTTTATTCGCTTTTCATTGCGTCAGCTAGTTTCTGTCCGTCAGTCATACTCTGGCATGCTGCAATTTTGTCATCTACATGTACAATAATGAAACATGGTCCGCTGTGAGTTTGTTTGATGAACAATGCTCCCTCCGATTGTGCTTATTTATAATAGTAGAGTATAGTAAAACAAAAATAGCTTTAAAACAGTCGTGCTCGCTTTGTGGTAGGCCGTATACACAACGGTCAACTCGACATACGACCTTTGTCTCCTTGTTTGTGCCTTTCGTATAATTGTCTCCGGGACGGATCAAGCAGATGTTCAACGAGGTCGTATCCTCGCGGTACTCGCATGTAGCCAGGGGTATAAAGTACTTGAGTGAGGTGGGCCGAGGGTGTATCGTGTTGTCGAATGTCCATGTCGTAGTGTGCCATTAGAGACTAGACAGATTCTAAGTTTTTACTTGGCTGCTATTGGGGCATATTTTCCATCGTATTCGACTCCCTGTTTTGCGTTGAATGCTGCTACGCTCGGACGTAATTTAAGTCGTGTGACTTGTCCTGATTCATCCGTTTTTGCCTTGAATACCCATCAAGAGAGGAATTGTGATTTTTCCCGTGGTTTGTTGTCAACCAGAGTGAATGCCTTTCGCTGTATCACCAAGCTCTTCATCTCTGAGATTCCTCCCAATCGACTGCGTTTGGCATATCATATATACCTTTGTATGTTTTCGGTTCCATTGTTGAAGTTGTTGAATTAACAGTGTGCGTAGTGTTGGGATATCGTCTTTTACGATGGCTGTCGTGGTACCAGTGGACATTATTATCATTTATCGCAAGGTCTCGTAGTTCTCGAGAGACTTGGCGACCTCCTGCCGTTCTTCTAGCTATGGTTGCTTCGAGACCGTGTTGTATTTTGGTAGTCACTTGGGTGCCTTCAACTCACCGAGATGTACTTCGCTCTGAGCAGGTTGTTGTGCTGACAATGAAGTCATTCCTAGTTGTTCTGAGTTGCTCGACTTTTGTGTCACAATTGGCTGGGTTCGTTGGCTATGCATATCTTTCATTGTCGATGTTGTCCTTGCGTCTGTTTGGAAATCGCCATTATCGATTTGGAGGAATGTACTGCTGTTCGTAGTGTCTCGTGGTGCGATAGCGGTTGTACATTTGTTGTCTTCCCAGACAAAGAATTCGTCTTCGAGCATATTGACGTCTCGGCTTTGTATCATACGCTTGGTCGGAGGTGAGTATATACGATACGAGTCCGGTGTTGTGTCCAAGGGTTGCGCAAGGAGAATGTCATCTAGTGCTCTATCGTCGAGTTTGCCGTCGAGATCACAGTTATTGTATGCGATGTGACACCCGAATGTTCTATCGGAAATTCATATCCTGTAAATTTCTCGTATGGGGATGAGCTCTTCTCCTTGGTGGGTATAGCATTGTATATGTTGGTAGTTTGAATCAGTGATTCAACCCACATATTAGTCGGTAGACGTGCATACTTCAGTTGTGCAAGCATTCTAGGGACCAGTGTACCATGCAGTCTCTCTACCTTGTCATGGTATTGTTGCGTGGCCATCGGTGCGTACCTTGAGCAGTATCCCAAATACGCAAGCATGCGTCTAATTACGTTTGCTGTAAACTGTGAACCTCGATCCATTTGTATGCACTGAATTCGGCGATGAGTTAGAATATACCATTCATTGAATGTGTAGAACCTTGCGTTAAGAATTGTTGTTGCTTTTAGATCGCAGATCGGATAATCTATGGCCATGATGAGAAGGTCAGGTCGTCTATGATTGATACAGAGTAGGTGAAGGATCCTATCGACGTTGCGAACGGTCCTAATATATCCACAAAGACTATCTCGAGAGGCTCTGTGGCAGGTTTGTGCTATCGTTCTGTGTTTGTATTCTCGTTCTTCTTCTTAGCAATATGTATGCTTTGCATCGTTTCTCTGATTGCCTGATGTAGGGTAAATCTTTTGGGACGTAGCTGCGGTGCGCGAGCCTGTTGTGCCATTAAATCTGGTTGGCTTTCTCCAACGATGGTTCCACTGTAGTCATAGCTATGTCGTCGATGTGCAGTATATTCTGTGCTGTTTATGTACTGTTATGGTCCCAAAGCTTGGTAGTAATATGTACATCATGTTGTTGGTGAATTCAAATGAGAAGTGTCGCGCTGAGAGCAGGCTGATACTTTCTAGTGTAGTTTTGAATGCCATATCGATGAGTACTTCCCTCAAGTTTCCTAGCTGAGCCACATACTTCGGATAAATGATTGCACCATCAGCTACTTCGTGCTCATACCAGCCATTAATGCGCATGTCGCGGACGAGATGATGCTTGTGGTACTTATAGGGAAGTACGTGTATGGTGGCGCAACTATCGCAAGCTATTCAGTACCCACCTCTGGAATATAGGGAAGTACGTGTATGGTGGCGTAACTATCGCAAGCTAGTCAGTACCCACCTCTGGAATCCACCTCTGGAACCTCTGTCTGACTGATCGTTCACATCCTTGTTGTCAATTGTAAGGTTAATTGTGGAGAATGCAATCTGTCTGTTAGCAAGTAGCTGGTCATTGGATATTTGTGCTGACATTGCTTTGTCCTGTCTGCCTTCATGAGCTTGGCGTCGATTGCCCGGGGATCGGTATGTTCTGTCACTGTCTTGTGAACGTTGGGTATCTCGTGAATATCTACCATCGTCGTTGTCGCGTCGACTGTAACTATCTACTCGGTAGTCCTGTCGGTCATGATCATCGTGATTATCGTAGCGGTATTGGTAGCGGTTCTTTCTATTGTATCGTTCATCACGTGTACGGTAGCCACAATTTGAATCAGATCGTATATTCTTGTCAGTATTCTTGAACATATATATGTAGCCTCTCATGTCGTAACGAAGACCAGACCTTTCAATCCGTCGATCGTAAGGTTTACGACCGTTGTGGTCACGAACCAAATTACATGGGTTACCAGCAACGTCTGATTTGATTAACGGTTGTAGCTTACGGCATTGCCCGATCCAATGCACAATTTCTGTCGATAGAGCTGCATGTGCACCGTGCACAATTGTTGATGGGTAACTTTCGTCTGGATCCAACGCGATGAGGTACGTGGCGAGCTCATCATCATACGACATGGCCATCATAGCGGGTGTCTTCAACGTAATCTTAACAGTCTGATTATTGTCATTTGCAGCCTGCAGTAGAATAGCGTATAAGCTGTTGTTGGACTTCGAATATCCGGCGTTTTTGGATTTCACAAATGCCGTGTTGAGAAGACCGGTAGCACTGGCGTATTGAGGGACTACAAATAGCACCACTACTACGAACACACGACATACACCGGCCAACGGTGCACCCAAACAAACCAAGCCAATAGGGGTTTTAAATCGAATTTACAGCAAGAAATCCTCTTTAATTCATAGAGAAGTCATCAGAGTTAGCTCGCTCCCGGGAGCTAATCGAGTTGTTCAAATTACTCCTGAGAGATCACTTAATACCTAACCCACTGATCAAGTTTCTCAACCAACTAAATATAGTGTGCGGTACGATATGTCGATGCTGCAAAAGCTCATCAAAAGTAATTTGTCGTGAGAGGTGTGATCACTCGGAATGGAATACAGTAGAGGGAAATAGTTCTTCAGGTCGTTTCAAAAGCGTATGTTTTAGGTTGACGTATACCACCTCTGTCCAATGTATCGACTGCCAAGTTTTTCGACTTATGACATAATTGTGATGAATTTTTAAACGCCAGGTTAGGTATAGTCGAGGGATATATTAGGTCATATATGCGGACTATTGTTATCCCCACAGAAGGAAAATCCTCCGCTGTGTGTGAAAGAACAATTACATAAATGGCCGCATATTTCTAAGATGC